TTGCCGCCTTTCATTGCTCCCTGACCATTCTTGCCTCGTCCGGCCTTGATCATGCGTCGTCGGGCTATCTTATGGAGTGACGTTTCGCCTCTTACTGCCTGTATATAGACATTACCACCAGTACCACCATCGCCACCGTTCGCTGGTCCATCTGGAATGTATTTCTCCCTCAGAAAGGATATGCAACCATGACCGCCAGCGCCTGATGCTAATGTGACAGTGCAGGCATCCGTGAAGGGCGTCGAAGAGTAGTCCAGTGGTCGTGGATTGAGATGATCATACTGATTGACGTCTATCGATCGACTGGGTGTATCATCATCCTCTGCAGGCGTGGCGACCGTTGTCAAGTCCTGTATCCGTGGCTGGAGGATGCTCCTTTCGAAGGCATGGCGCAATGAGTTTCTGGCACCTCTTGGAAGTGACCACAGCTTACGCGTGGCATTGAGGCTTCCAGACAGCTGTCGCAGGCCACAATGCAGATTCATGAACGTGTCGACAAAGCCGGTCGATGGGTCGATGAATGTTGATCAATTTTAGGTATGATATCACGCGAGGCACTAGCCATTCCAGGGACAGCCTGCCGCACTAGCCTCCTGCTGCAATAGTGCCGAGGTCACGAACAGCTCATGCTCGTTACGCCGAGTGTCAACACGAGTCTTCTCTCCTTCTCGACCATAGGCTAGGACAGAGGAGTTACAGCTGTCGGGAACATCGGAACATCAGTGTGGTAAGTACTTCGGTGGTCCTCCATGCCCTCGCACTCGGGATGTTGAGACAACCTACCTCAGTCGTGCCGAGGAAGATACTTGGCCGGCATTCGTTGCGCGCAAGAACAGAGTGCTAACACAACAGGCAGCGACTTGTACTTCCACCTGAAGTTTTCCTTCTACACACACGGCAGCTTCATACCTCACGCAGACGCAATCATGCCCAGCATTCTGAAGCCATCGCTACTCAACCCGCTCTTCACAGGACCGCTCTACTATGCCTTGACAGAAGCGCCGATGCACGTTCGAGTGCCATTGCTTGTCGGTCTAAGCAAGATCCTGTCAGAGGAGACTATTGAGCGCATAATCACTGGACTGAAGTGGTTGACAGTCCTTGGACTGCTACGCAAGACTTCATCATTCCTGTCAGAATTGGGACAAAACAACTGGCGACTGAGGTCCGAAAAGCACAGATACAACTGGCCAAGTGAGATTGCGGTTGTGACTGGAGCTGCAGGTGGTTTTGTAAGTGGGAAGAGAGGGTTTATGTGGTATACACTGCTGACACACAACAGGGCAAGCTTCTCTGTGCTGGTCTCGCCAAGAAGGGTGTCAAGGTCATCGCCGTCGATGTGGCTGCCCAGATGCCACCGGAGGTTCGCAACCTGCGCAAGATCAACTACTACCAGGTTGATATCACAGACCCAGAGGCAGTCAAGGCACTGGGTGAGCGAGTCCGTGCCGAGCACGGTAACCCAAGCATTCTCATCAACAATGCTGGCATCGCCTATACACACACCGTGCTTGCTGCCAAGCCGGAATCGCTGGAGAAGATCTTCAAGGTCAACATCATCTCCCACTACTACCTTCTCCAGGCATTCTTGCCAGCCATGGTCGAGCAAAAGAAGGGTCACATCGTCTCTGTCTCCTCTATGGCAGCATACATCACGCCAGTCGCTCTCTCACCGTACTGCGCAACCAAGGCCGGTGTGCTCAGTCTGCACGAAGGTCTTGGTACTGAGCTTCGCACTGTCTACAAGGCACCTGAAGTCAAGCTTACCATTGTGCACCCAACCTTTGCAGAGACCGCCATGGTCGGCGCGAACGCCCAGAACCTCAAGAAGGCTCGTATGCGAGTGCTCAAACCAGAGGAGGTCACCGATGCCATCTTGAAGCAGATCTTTGCTGGTCGTGGACGTCACATTGTTCTCAGCCCTCCAGCAAACTGGATTTCCACCATCAAGGGATGGCCAGGATGGTTGAGCCAGTCGCTGCTGCAATTGCCAGAGCGACGAATGGATACTTCAGCCATGCCAGCAGGATTCGCAACTACTGAGATTGCTCAGGGCAAGCGTACTTGAGTCTTGGTCATTGTCTCATTTGGCAGCTATCTGTGCAATATCTCTATGTATCATGCAAGCTATGCCACGCTAAATTGCTGAATGCTCGCTCGATTTCGTTATAACATTCCGAATGTGTTTCAAAGGAAATTGGGTATCATGTTGCTTAAAATGCGCCTGGTCCTGGTCGATGCACGGGCGGCATGCCATGCCTGGTCTGTGGGCGGCCATCCATTGACGGCCTGACCGCAGTCCCTCTGAAAGCTCCTGTCCATGCAGGCTCACGAGCACGTAAGTGAACATTCTCGTCGGTAGTGATGGCGTGATGTCCGAGTGACTCACGTCCCTCCCTGACAGCCGTCCTTGGAAGGGGTGGTAACAGTGGCGACATCGTCTCTTGTGTGACATTCTCTGCAGGAAATGTGGTTCGTAAGGGATAGGATGGTTGTCGTGTGAGATCGGCGGTTCGCAGGAAGCCTGGTGTACCTGGTAGAGCCGACATTTCGGCCACGCTGGCGCTGGGTAGTGCTGTCAACGTCCGTTCGTACTCGGCGGTGGTGCTGGGCCGTGAGTTCCAAGGTGCATTGGCACCCATCTGTGGCCTGCTGTTCCTGTTTGAATGTATCGTCGCACTCTGTGGCGCTGATCGGACGGGATCATACAGCCATGCGACCTCTGGGAACGTCTTTTTCTTCTTCTTCGCAGCCCCTCCTGTGATACTACCAAGAAGCGACGTCTGAGAGCCACTTCGTTGATGACCTCTTTCTCGACGTGATCGAACGAAGAATAACAGAACGAAGAGCATTAACAGCACCGCAGCAACACTGCCAAATGCAATGCCTGCAATGGCACCGGGTGACAGTCCAGGATTGCTTAGAGCTGCCGTTGACGCTGCTCCAGTGGTCTGCGCGGCCATTGATGCAGCCGATGCTGTTGCCAGATTCGTGGTCGTGCTTTGTGATACACTCGTGGACGGGTCGGCACTGGATGTGAGTGTGCTCTGAGACACGACGGTCGAGAACGTGGTTTGGGATGTGGTTTGAGATGTGAAGAAGCTCAATGTCGATGAGTGCGGTGAGCTCAATTGCTTTGCCAGACTGCTGGCAGCAGCTGAAGGCAACGCCTGAAGCAAGATGTCGAATGCCTGTGTCTGAGCCATTGTGGGAGCACCATGCGTCGTGTGCTATCAGACGAACGTGTTGCGGTTAGCAGACGGTTTCGCGATGAGGCCCTTCGTGCCTGTGGTTTGAGAGGTCTCTATCGAAACAGTCGGTACATGATCAGAAATGTGAAACAAGTCGTAGACTCCTCTGCTAAAGCGAGGAGGAGTGCAGCTCTCGAGTTATACATGACACTGCTGCGGCGAGGGCGCGATCGCTCCAGGGCTCATGCCGTAGCGATCAAACTGACTTTTCGACCTGCGCTCCTTTGCCAAGCAGGCGTATAGTTGGTTAAAAGTGATGCCTGCACGCGATTCGCTGAGATGCACCACTGTAAGCAGCTCTGCATGCTGTTGGAGTTAGGGTGCGCTGAAGCCACCTATTCTTATGTTCAGGAGTAGAAGTAGCGCAAGTACTACCTCTAGGTTGGCCTTGTGGCACTGCACTATTGCAAGTCACCTATATGCGGCCTCCTCGTCGCCACGTGAACGGCTTGAAACAACACGAGACCGTCAGCCATCGTACAATGAACAGTCTGTCAGCTGGTGTGTCCAATGTCAGGCATGCTGCTTGAGCTCTCGTCCTTATCGCTGTGCTTCACTCTCGATCGCCGCCGCATACTCGCCGCTGCGGTACGGCTCTGGACCGATCGCAGGGCACAGCGATGGCCGCAGACGACGCGTCCGGTACGGCGTACTGCAAAGCTATCTTCGGGCGGGTAGAGGTACGATGAGGATAGACGCGGCCGGCAGTGGAGTTGTTGCTAAAAGTAGGATCCGGTAGATAGCGTTGTGGCCACATTTGGTATGGTTGTGTGCTGAAGTGCTTTGCACAGCCTCAGCCTCATCTGATCTTGACTTCACTTATCCTCTCTTCATCCTAGAGACTAGATGCTGACCTCATTAGGCCCGTCTCACCTTGCACCTGAAACACAGCAACGCTGTCGACGTCGCAATGAGTGCGCAACGGCAGCACGCGGCAGGTCATGATCTTCATTCCATCCTTTGTCGGCAGAACCGCTTCGTCTCGAGGATCGTCTTTGTCATTGGCTTCGTCCCTCTTGAACGCAGGAGACGTCCATGCTATTAGCATAGGATCTGGATGCGAGGCTGGTGTTGTTCATCAGCAAGACCCCACTCAGATTCATCTAGACTTCGCTTCACTGATACGCACTCATCCTCTGGTGCTTACAGCAGAAATCGTGGTGTTCGAAGCGCTCCGCGGAACGAAGATGAGGAGGATTGCCATGATCTGCCAGGGATGATGAGCATAGGCCTGAGGTGGAATATGCTGTAGGTATGCTTGTTTTACTTCGCTTCTTCTGCGTCGTCAGCATTTGTGCTTCTTCTTGGCATTCTGTTATGTTGTATTGCGGGAAGTCCAATCTCACCTGTCGATTCGACAATCACGAACGAGGCTGTAACACACTTGAGTGCTCCGAGGCTGGTGTTGAGGCATTCTGGTACACCTAGCACGCATCACCGGCGCACAACATCGTGGTGGTGTTCGGCAAAGCGTCCTTCAGAGCATAACGCAGTCGACAGTCCGGTGAGGATGTCGAAGGGCTCTACTGCGCCTGGCACGCGGACTGAGTGGTAAGGTTGAGTACTGCTATGCAAGGCATCTTTGCGTCTTCCAAGGTACGTCGCTGCTCAGAGTGTCTTAAGACATGACCTGTGTATTGACACCAAGAAGGTAGGCGGCACGAATAGTACACAAGCCGCACTGGCCGCTGATCACATGCTTCGCATACTATCTGTACCGCATTTGCAGCCGTCCTTCCACCGATTCTTCCACGCGTAGTGAAGTGGTTTACACGTCCCCGACCGCCAGCCCTGGTTACCCGGGGTACGGCGTACAAAACTACGGTCTTGAGCAGGTGTTTAAGTCGGCGAAGTCGTGGGTTCGAATCCCATCGTGTGGAAAAGGGAGGTTTCTACGTCGTGCAGTCTGGAATCTCTAGGCACAATTGGGAGTGCATAACCTGCAATCGAATCACTGTACTTTTTTTGTGCTTTCTTGCCATGGAGCTCACCGAGAGTGTTTGTCTCTGCTGTCGAGAGAGGCGTCGTCACAATGTCGTTGGCGAGCGAAGGCCGTAGACGCTATTCATGTGCAATACCGTACAGACATTGATGGGAATTCACTTATTTGTGAACACAAGACAGAACCGCAGCAGCATCTGCACACGGCTCGTCGATCGTCAGCACAGGTGGAGCACAGGGTAGAGCACATCTGCTGCGAGGTCCTAGACGGCAGAGCATATCGGTGTTATAGGTAAGGAACAGTCACATGGCAGCGTTGTCAACGACTAGGTACTGGGTCATGGTACACCAAAGAGAATGTATACATGTTACATGACGGGAGTATCTGCACAGGATGTGCGCCGGATAGTCTAAATGTGGTATGACTCATGTTTACCAAGTGATGCGATGCACCGCAATCACTCACCAAGGCATGTTGGACGACAGCTGTCGGAATGCAGCCGAAACCTGCTCAGGGTTGCTGAAGTATGCGATGGCACCCAGGACATGAAGGGAGACCAGAATGACAGCGACCTGGAAAGCGACGAGCTTGACGAAAAGCTTGACGAGTCGGAGTCGAGTTGCGTTGGTGAAAGACTTCCAAGCAGCAGCGTTGAGCTTCTTTGCGCTACCACGTTCATTGAGGTCGAGGTCTCCGACAATGGCCATGCGGTCGAATGGCACGATAGTCTCTCGACCTTGTGGAAGAAGGCAAGCCTCAACGCGTGCGAGAGTGCTTGCCGCCGGAAGGTAAATGAACAGAGCTGCAAGGATTGCGATGGTTGGGAGTGCCACGACGTGGAAGGCGAGGAAGGCAACCTGGAGAGTGCTGGCCTGTGTGAGTCCTGGGAATGCAAAGACGATTGGCGAGAGAACGAGGAGGAGCATAGCTGGCAGAACAATGATTGACTGCTGGGCAACAGCGTAGTTAAGGGATGCGAGCAGAAGTGGCTTGCACTGCTTGCGTGGAATGAATCGCTCAGACCAGGAAGTGCTGGTTGGTGTGGCGATCATGGCGTGTGTCCAGACCATGTGCAGACGGCACATGAGGACAACAGAGAGGGTATAACCAAGACCTTGAGCGAGGATATGTCCCAACACGCCAGAGAATAGTCCGCCGAAGAGATGGCCGACGAAGTTGACAGCGAAGTGGTAGATGATGCTCCAGCCCAGACCTCTCCAGCGAGCGCGGAAGCCTCCAATACGGTGTAGGTGCTTGATGGTGCCAACGACGCTGGCGGTAATTGGCTTGTGATCGATCACAACGACCTCGACATCTGCAACATCCATCTTCTTCTCGAGTGGGGCATCTGGCTCATCAGAGTATGCTGGTGGTGCTGTCTCGACGATGGTAGTGGTAGAAGGAGATTCGATCATTGTAAGAGAGGCCATGACGGATCCCACAGTGTAATCGACCTTTGTTCGTTAGTACTAGTGCAGTATACATGCCGGGTTACCCACCGAACAGATCAAGAAAATGGTGGTGATAAGGACAACGGCGACCGGGATCAGAGTGAAGATTGAAAAATCAAGCCTGGTAAGGTCGTCGAGGCCATCTGTTGTGGTTGGCATGTGTTCGAGACCGCGACGAACGACATGAGAAAGGGCCTGAGCCGCAACGCCAGACATCTTGACGGGCTGGAGATGTAGCTGTAGGTAGTGTAGTATGAAATGCGATACCTGAAATGGTAGTAGAAGGAAGAAGAGAAGGATAAGCGTGAAGTAGAAAGGGTGTGGTTGTAGGGACGAGACGCTGACGACGTTGCCGCCTAGCAGCAGAACCCCAAGGAGTGTTTGCTTGCCGTCCTGACGCTACGCCGCAATCCTCTTCGTATTCGCTCATTCACTGCCAATCATTTTCGCCTCCAAGTGTTGTATTGAGTTCATATGACAGCTCCATTTCTAAGCAAATGAAGGAGGCTAGGACATATCGTCGGCTTGCAGTCAAGGTTGATGTGGTTGTTTGCTCACAATAATCTCAATAGCAGATGAGCTTCACACGCAATAAGGCCCAGGCTTCTTACAGGCTTGCCGTCCGTGTGGTATCAGTAGACCTGAGAGAGACCGGATATGCTACATATTGCACGATGCGAGTGCGCTCCTTGTCCGAAAGTAGATCGTCAGGTTATGACACGAACCACTGCGCTCTCCTGGCAGCTTAAGTCTGCTTGGGCGATCCGGACGAAGATGAGGCAAATATGCACAACATCGGAGCACGACTGACGGCACATGGCGAGAGGACTCATGTATTCGGCTCGCTCCAATTCGACTGCTACATGATCAGGCAAGACTTGATGGTGCAGCTCGAATGCGATGAGTAAGCATTTTTCATGTTCATAGCTTGGAATTGTAGCCAGCTGCATACCAAACACAACACTTCATAAAATCTTATTGACAGATCTTTGTCAATGCCAGCGCGAGCTGGTCCTTGTTGTCTTCGCCATGCTCGATCGCTGAGAGTGCCACTTACTGTCGGCGGCTGCACGACGAAGCAATACACACGACCGGCCTTTGCGCCCAAGCCCGTCCTCGATCTGAAACATATTCGACAGAATCCTGGACTTTACGAGACGAATTGCGAGCAGCGGAACTATCCAAAGCAGTCCCGTAATGGCTGGCGAATCCTCGAGCTTCACAATGCTCTAGTTGATCGTCAAAGAGAAGCTCTTACGCTTCGTCAACGAAACAATGCATTGGGCAAGCAGCTGAAGCAGAAGGATGCCATCACCAGTCGCGACGCGCTTCTGCAAGAGGCGAAACAACTCAAGGAAGAGCTGACAGCATTCGAGAAGGAAGAGAAGGCTACACATGACGAGATGGAAGCACTAGCATTGGAATTACCCAACCTCAGCTCACTCGAGTCGCCAGTAGGTGAGACAGCTGATGTGAAAGGTTTCATCAATGAAGAGAAGTCGCGCACAGCAGGGCCGAGCCATGTGGACATCGGTAAAGAGCTTGATATACTCGACTTTGAAGGCAGTGCAACCACAAGTGGCTGGGGATTCTACAACCTCAAGAACGAGGGAGCATTGTTGGAGCAAGCTTTGGTGCAGTATGCTATCTCAGTTGCCCTCAAACATGGCTGGACTGTGCAGACACCGCCAAGCTTGGTCTACTCTCACATCGCCGCTGCTTGTGGCTTCATGCCTAGGGATCAGCATGGCGAGACGCAAGTTTATGCGATACAAGCAGACGCCGACAAGCCAGGATTAGTCCTCTCAGGAACAGCAGAGATCGCGTTTGCAGGCTCACAAGCCAACAAGACGTTCACAGCATCAGATCTACCTCGCAAGGTAATCGGTGCGTCACGCTGCTATCGAGCAGAGGCTGGAGCCAGAGGTGTCGACACCAAAGGACTGTATCGAGTCCACGAATTCACCAAAGTTGAAATGTTTGCATGGACATTGCCATCATACGACTCTTCTGAGGAGGCACCACGGTTTGACAGTGGTGAGACCGAGCAGAGTCAGTCAGATGAGGTGTTCAACGAACTCCTGTCCATCCAAGCAGAAATCCTGACGACTCTTGGGCTACATGCTCGCATTTTGGAGATGCCTACGACTGACCTCGGTGCCTCATCCATTCGCAAGATCGATATTGAGGCCTTCTTTCCTTCGAGAACAAGCATTGACGATGGCTACGGCGAAGTAAGCAGCGCCAGCATGTGCACAGACTACCAGGCAAGACGCCTTGGCACAAGATTGAAGGTAGAGGGCAGATCCGGACTAAGCTTCCCATGGACCATCAATGGCACTGCGCTGGCTGTGCCCAGAGTGCTGCTGCAATCATCGAGAATGGCTGGGAAGAGCCAAAGAAGGCTGTCAGAGTGCCCGAATGCTTGCGAAAGTGGATGCCAGGCGAGCTTGAATTCATAGCCAGAGAGAAATGAAGTAGAGCGAAGATTCATTTTATAGCACACCAAATGGTCTCATCTGCATGGCTCGTAGCCCACCAGGTGGAACAACTCCCTGATGACTTCCAAGGTGTGGATTGGGCCCGGTTCTAAAGGTCGCATATGTCTACACGCCGTCTATCGTATCTCGAATGCATCTCAGGTGATAGTTTTACAGGTTCGCTGCTCATGTGCTCCTCTACTTTGTCTCTGCTGCAAGGAAAGAGATCAGGTCGTTCCTGTCCTTGCCCTTCTTCAGACCTCCGAATGCCATCTTGGTTCCTGGGATGTACTTCTTTGGGTTCTCGAGGTACTCGAACTGATATAGATGTCAGCGATTGCCTTTTCGTCTCGTGCTTTTCATCCTTACTAGGGTATCGTTGTTCCACTCAATGCCCTTCTGCTTGTTGGCCTCGGAGTATGAGAAGCCCTCAACCTGACCAGTGTGACGGCCGAAGAGACCGTGAAGGTTTGGACCGATCTTGTTGCCCTCGCCCTCCTTGAGGTTGTGGCACTGCGCACATCGAGTCTTGAAGAGGTTGGCACCCTTCTTGACGTCACCTATCGATACCAGTCAGATACAATCCTGCAGACGCAGCGACGACAAAGCGATGAATCCGCGGTGATCCAACAGGTGATGCTTGACATCCCGATGCTCGATACGCAGATCCACGCCGTCTCTTGGGGCGAAGCATACCTTCCGAGAAGCTTTCCTTGCCCATTGTGAAGATGTGTGGTTCGTAGTGTGGTTCGACTTATTGAAGATGCTCGAGGCGATCAGGATGTGATTGTCGTATGGGACTGATAAGTGGTTGGAATACAGTGTCAGATGAAAGTGATGGGATAGAAACAAAAAAGTGATCACCTCCGAGCACAGGCAGGGAGCCAGGTTGAATCGCCGCAAACGTAGCCAATCACAACATTTTCGTTTACAGCTTGATTTCCTCCGAATCCTCCCTGCCAACATAACGCTGGCAATAACACGGTGCACCCGCTGCCACTATAGCC